GTGTATACTTTAATTTAAAATGATAAAATTTTGGGGAATATCGTCACAACATAGGTAAATGTTTGTCCGAACATTATTAGTACGCTGAGCGCTAATTCGTTAGCTGGACTTTAAGCTAAAATTAACCTAAATATATATGTCTAGATTTTAATGATTTTTTAACATGTTGTACATCCAAGTGTACACTTTAATTTAAAATGATAAAATTTTGGGGAATACCGTCACAACATAGGTAAATGTTCGTCCGAACATTATTAGTACGCTGAGAACAAGTTCGTTAGCTAGACTTTAGGCTAAAATTAACCTAAATATATATGTCTAGATTTTTATGATTTTTTAATATGTTGTACATCCAAGTGTATACTTTAATTTAAAATGATAAAATTTTGGGGAATACCGTCACAACATAGGTAAGTGTTCGTCCGAAAACTCTTAGTACGCTGAGAACAAATTCGTTAGCTAGACTTTAGGCTAAAATTAACCTAAATATATATGTTTAGAATTGAATGAATTTTTAATATGTTGTACATTCAAGTGTATACTTTAATTTAAAATGATAAAATTTTGGGGAATACCGTCACAACATAGGTAAATGTTTGTCCGAACATTCTTAGTACGCTGAGCGCTAATTCAATAGCTGGACTTTAAGCTAAAATTAACCTAAATATATATGTTTAGAATTGAATGATTTTTTAATATGTTGTACAATTAAGTGTATAATTTAATTTAAAATGATAAAATTTTGGGGAATATTGTTTCAACATAGGTAAATGTTCGTCCGAACATTCTTAGTACGCTGAGCGCTAATTCGTTAGCTGGACTTTGAGCTAAAATTAACCTAAATATATATGTTTAGATTTAAATAATTTTTTAATATGTTGTACATTTAAGTGTATACTTTAATTTAAAATGATAAAATTTTGGGGAATATCGTCACAACATAGGTAAATGTTTGTCCGAACATTCTTAGTACGCTGAGCGCTAATTCGTTAGCTGGACTTTAAGCTAAAATTAACCTAAATATATATGTCTAGATTTTAATGATTTTTTAATATGTTGTACATCCAAGTGTATACTTTAATTTAAAATGATAAAATTTTGGGGAATACCGTCACAACATAGGAAAATGTTCGTCCGAACATTATTAGTACGCTGAGAACAAGTTCGTTAGCTAGACTTTAGGCTAAAATTAACCTAAATATATATGTTTAGATTTGAATGAATTTTTAATATGTTGTACATTCAAGTGTATACTTTAATTTAAAATGATAAAATTTTGGGGAATATCGTCACAACATAGGTAAATGTTTGTCCGAACATTCTTAGTACGCTGAGCGCTAATTCGTTAGCTGGACTTTAAGCTAAAATTAACCTAAATATATATGTCTAGATTTTAATGATTTTTTAATATGTTGTACATCCAAGTGTATACTTTAATTTAAAATGATAAAATTTTGGGGAATACCGTCACAACATAGGTAAATGTTCGTCCGAACATTATTAGTACGCTGAGAACAAGATCGTTAGCTAGACTTTAGGCTAAAATTAACCTAAATATGTATGTCTAGATTTTTATGATTTTTTAATATGTTGTACATCCAAGTGTATACTTTAATTTAAAATGATAAAATTTTGGGGAATATCGTCACAACATAGGTAAATGTTCGTCCGAACATTATTAGTACGCTGAGAACAAGTTCGTTAGCTAGACTTTAGGCTAAAATTAACCTAAATATATATGTTTAGAATTGAATGATTTTTTAATATGTTGTACATCCAAGTGTATACTTTAATTTAAAATGATAAAAGTTTGGGGAATACCGTCACAACATAGGTAAGTGTTCGTCCGAAAACTCTTAGTACGCTGAGAACAAATTCGTTAGCTAGACTTTAGGCTAAAATTAACCTAAATATATATGTTTAGAATTGAATGAATTTTTAATATGTTGTACATTCAAGTGTATACTTTAATTTAAAATGATAAAATTTTGGGGAATACCGTCACAACATAGGTAAGTGTTCGTCCGAACATTCTTAGTACGCTGAGAACAAATTCGTTAGCTAGACTTTAGGCTAAAATTAACCTAAATATATATGTTTAGAATTGAATGATTTTTTAATATGTTGTACATTTAAGTGTATACTTTAATTTAAAATGATAAAATTTTGGGGAATACCGTCACAACATAGGTAAGTGTTCGTCCGAAAACTCTTAGTACGCTGAGAACAAATTCGTTAGCTAGACTTTAGGCTAAAATTAACCTAAATATATATGTTTAGAATTGAATGAATTTTTAATATGTTGTACATTTAAGTGTATACTTTAATTTAAAATGATAAAATTTTGGGGAATATCGTCACAACATAGGTAAATGTTTGTCCGAACTTTCTTAGTACGCTGAGTGCTAATTCGTTAGCTGGACTTCAGGCTGAAATTAACTTAAATATATTATACATGGTTTTTAATAATTCTTTAATATGTATTTAAAACAATAATATTTGGTCGAATATTGTTTCAACATAGTTTCAAGTACGTCCAAACACTCCTTGTATGCTGAGAACATATATATGATAAAATTTATATGTTTCGATTTATTTATACTTTTTGGTGCGTATATGTGCTATATTACATATACACAGTTATTAGTTTTAGTTCGGAAAACTATTAATTATCCATAGAAGGTAAATTCAAATGCGAGGTCTTTTTTTTGTGCATCGACTGTACTGCTCAAACCTAGGCGTTATCTGATTGGTCGAGAGGGCGAAGAGGGGAAATCGTTGTGGGAGGGGGGAAAATGTAGGGTCGACAGCTGGCGATAGCTGTTTTCACGATCGTTCAGGGGAGCCATTTTTAAATTATAAAATTAAACTGTTACAAACTCATAAACCTAACCAAACTTGCTGATTATGAATAAAATCTAAAGATTAAAGAAGGTTAACTAATTGAAACAATAGTACCTATTTATAGTTCTGTTCAGTGTTCATAAAATAATGTTAGAAATGCCTCAAATTCTAACAAAAGATGTACAGTTAAGAAGTACTGTAATCGCATTCTAAGCTAAATCGTTGACAAAATGTTAATGCCATCGGTTTTGCTGCCTTTTGTTATTATTTTCACAGTTTATTATTTGTTATCTTTGTTGCCATAGTCTATTTTGTTGGTCTTATTTAATCGTTGTTGTTATTGCCTGTTGTAAAGTTACCGTCATTACTGCTTGTTACTTGTTACTATTATTACTAGGCATAGTCTTCTTGTTGTTATTTATTGTAGTTTTTAGGTCCCACTCATGTATTTATTGCCAGCTTCCTTATTTATTATTATTGCACGATTTTTGTAACCACTGACATTAACTTATTATTTGCTACTTATGTATAGTTCATAGTTGGACAAAATTGTATTAATGGAGAAACCGTTGGAATAAATAAATAAATAAATAAATCGGTGGGATTTTATCAGGCTATATGCTATCTTCAGTCCATCAGCCAGGTATGTATTTATAATAGGTTAAGGTTAATAATACTAATTAACCATTTTTTATTTCAGCATGGTTTGTAATGATGAACATTTCATTATTTATATGCATTGGTTTGTTTTATTTTAGAATAGTTTGACGTTACCTATTGTATTTATTTACTTAATGGTATAATAAATCTCTTGAATCTTGAATCTCATGAATGCTCATGCTCAATTATTTCATTTCTCATTTAGTGCTCTGTGGTACGCTGTCCTTTACCACGGCCGCTTTTAACTCCAGGCCACGGCCTTCCAACTGGCAACGTTGCAAGTGGTGTTGTAACAGCTGATTTTTTTGGAAGCAACTTTTGGTATTTGTGTAATTATGAAAGATTGATTACTGGACTATGACAATATTGACTCCGCTTAAAATTGTACGGATATAGATTTTAATTCATATTGTTTCAATTTTAAAGTCTGTATGTTTTATTTTTAATATTTTAATAAATTTATGTTCATAAATTAAAAATTAAATCAATTAAGTGCGAATTAATGAGCTGATGTCACCTGTCTGCCATGTTATCTTATGGGACGTCTGTCATTGAACAACACCACTTGCGATGTTGCCAATTCTACCAGGCTGCGGCCCGTGTAGTTAAAGGCGGTCGTGCCACTACACTACTGAGTCCGATGGCTCTACTAAATACTAATAGCCGTCTCTCTAACTAAGCCGCTTTGTTGTTTTAGTGGTATTCCCGTTCCCTCTAGAGAAAAGACTGACGTCACGCCATGAGAGCCAATAGAATATGTGCGTCACGGAGCGTCCCGTGAGCCTTCTTGTATAAACTGGACCCACTACTCGGTTATGGGAATGGGCACACGGAAGGGACTAAGGCGAAAGTTGTAGTGACGTCATATCTCTAGTGGCTAATGTCTTCTTTTGAGGCGACACGATTACCGTAACGAAACGATGTGATTTCAGCGGCGTTCGTGGCTTAGTTGGTAGCGTTTCGGATTGGTGGTCAGGAGGTGCCGGGTTCGAATCCCGCTGGCAGCACTAACTTTTTGTCACCAAATTTTTCATATCAGCAAGTTTGGTTGGTTAGGTTAGGTTATGACAGTTTAATTTCATAATACTAAATTTTAAAATTAATTTTATAATTAATTAAACATTATAAGTAATTATTAATTAGATTTTTATCTTATATAGTTTTTATATTATCAGCAAGTCTGGTTGGTTAGGTTATGTTATGACAGTTTAATTTTAAAAATTAAAAATTTATTTTATAATTTGAAACAATATTTTATAATTAAAAATTTAATTTTATAACAAAAAATTAAAAAAAATTTAATTATTTCAACTTATCAGTTCTAGCGGTGAACGCTGACACTACAAGATATGTTAGCCTTAGTCCCTCCCGTGTGTCCCACCGCTCAGTTATGTGTGGTTATGTATTCGGTGTTATAACTTCAGCTGGGTGGGGTTTGTTACGTGTTGGCAGAACTGGTGGGTGTCCCAAAATACCTGATGATATCAAAACATCGTATCGTAGTAATCAATCGTACGATACGAAACGCAAACGAGAAAGTGAGAAAGTCAAAAGTCCAGCAGAAGAGTCAAGACAAGACTCAAGAGTCCAAATAAGTCAAAGTGAAGATGAGGAGTAACATTACAATTATGTGAGTTTTTCTTAGTATTTTGCAACCCAATAATACCTACGTTATGTTTGTAAATTTGTATCTTGTAAAACAAATTTCAAATACTAATATCTATGAAATGTTTATTGATACCTACAGTATGTTCATGGTTTAGGTTATAAATATAGGCCTAGGCCTATGTTTTTATTTTTGAATTGACTAGACATTTCTTCTAAAATCGAAGGCTTTTTTAATTACAACAAAGGTTTTATAAGAGCCTAAAAAATGTTCAATACTGCTATTTTATATAGCCTACTCCCTCAACAGAGCCTAGGTGAGGTTTCAATCTGTATAGGCTAGGCTAAAATTGCCTCCTATAATATAGGATTATATACTCTTAAGTCTGTTGTAGGCTATTTTAAGAACTTCGTTATACTTAGTTTTTGTTTCTAAACTGATACCTTATGATGCTGATGTAACTTTTTTATGCAATTTTTTTTATTAATTTTTTTTTAAAGAGGTTGGCGGCTTCTTTTAACCTTGCATTTGCCCGTCCACATAGACTAAGCGCCCGTGCGTGGATCAGTAAGCAAAGCAAGGAGTGAGCCGGTACAGTACAAAGGTTTAATTATTGATCGCACTGACTATCAATCTCAACTCAACTCTCCTGTAAAATGGCGTTTGCCGTGTATGCAATAAATAAATAAATGAATAGCCTAAATAAAAGGTGAACTGTACTGATAAAATGTTATCGGCAGTGACCAGGATCCGAACCCACAACATCGCTGCCTTGGGCCCGAAGTCCGCGACGCTACCGACTGAGCCACCGACTCACTAAACTACTATTGCAGGCCTAACTTGTAGCCTATAATGTATCACTCTAAACTGCAAACAGCATGGCCATCAACCAGAACCATGCCTGCCGAGTTCTGATTTTTCACTGTAGGTGAAGGCATTGTCGGATTATGCTAGGATTCGGACTAGCCAAGATTGGTTTTTAAAGTGGGGTTCTACTGTACCTAACTCAATTTGATGTTATTGTTCATTGTTCAATGTAGGCTAAATCATATTTGGCTTCTATCAGTCTATACATTTGTTTGTTGTAATTATTGTTCATACAATTACTTATTTATTTTTTCCAGGTAATTTAGTATTAGAGAAATGAGACACAAACAGGGTTTAATTGTTAGTAATGGATGAGGTCGCTTTCCATGTCTCTCAACGCCTGGAGTCTCTTCAAGTAAGTTAGATAAAAGTTAAGTCCAATCTAACTTTCCAATGTCTTAACTTGCCTATGACTTAAGGCCTTCAATCCTGAAACATTTCATTACAGTAATTATAGAATAGTAACCCAATAATACAACTTCATTCCTACCCCAACCTTGGAATGGTTAAGTTACTTGAAGAAGGATCAAGCTAGAAGAAAATAATTTTTTTTATGTACACTTGTGGCATTTTGTAATTGAGAACACTAAAACATATCTTTCCTTGGTACAAAGCCTTAATAAAAAATATTACTATGATGTAGTATTAAAAACTAACATAATTGATAGTTAGGTATTCAGTTTAATTATCATCACGACTATTTGGTTTATTGGGGTATAACAGTAGTTCATAATGATTATACGGTAGTGTTGAGTGTTTAGTGCTTATAGCCTGACAAAGATTAGTTTTATGTCGGTAGAAAAGTTTGGTTGGTGTTACTGGTTCCTCCCAGACACATGCAAAGAACTACACATAATCAGACCTATAACCTATGCCGTGTCAGATGTAATTTTAAAACATGTCTGTTTTAATGCATTGACTGCCTGGCACAACAGACTTAAATTTGTGACACCAATGTTCCATGCCAACTTGCATTGCTTATTAAGAGGTTATTTTTGTCTGTGGATGATCTTGGGCCTGGAGGACTTTTTATCTTTACTGCATAACCAGAATGCATAGTTTATTGGGGTTACACAAAATAATTTGTCGACTCAACATTTTCGTCCCAGCTTTCTCCCCTGCATTTAGCAGCACTTTTTGAGAACTGTTGAGAAATTTTCGGTGCTGCAACCTATTGAGTTCTTGTTCAACTACGTCAACGAACACTGATAAACAGTATACATACATGCTAATACCTTTGACTATTAATACAACTAATAATTACTACAATTATTAATCAGCAACCAATAATAGTCAATACCATGGCTCTTCAAAAATACAATGAAACGTTCTTTAAAAATGTTGGATGTACAGAATACAAACAATTATAGCACTCAGCACATTGGTCCTATCCATTGCCACTACGCAACCGCAGCAAGTTGAGACTAGCATATAGTAAACAAAAATATAAAATATATTATACGTCCTTTTAGACCTTTACAGACACCTCTAGATCTCTCCTTTATGAAAATTTCCTGTTAATCTTCAATAACTGAGCTGCGTTTACACGAAGCTAGATGGCGAGCAGGTTACCTGCCCATGTACATGCCAAGTGTATTCCAAGTTACCTGAGGAAGCCAACCCGCCCGTCATCTAGCTTTGTGCAAACACGGCTATATGGGTATGTAATTTCACAAGCATACAGTAAACTTTATTTATTTCATAAGCATTTAGACTTCTCGAACTGGATACATTGTGCTGGACTCTGGTCCGAACAAAGAAAATTTGAACCATCAGAAAAAAAGTTAATGAAACTGTTACAAAACAACTTAGAATGGGCGCAAACATATCCAACAACAAATTTATTCCAAACAATAATTTAATAGGCCTACATCAATAATATTCTTGCAGTGGTGGAAAAGCAGTTACTTGAAAGCAGTGGTGCTTGTTTATGTACTAGTGGGTGATTTGTAGGTGGCCATCCAAATCGTCCAAAGTTCGAACTAGACAGTTCCGAACGAGAAAAAACCCGTACTAGGTCTACTATCAGTTTTAAGTAGGCTAGGCCTACTAAAATCATGAAATAAAAAGTCTAAATATTTAAAAAAATTTGCTAATAGGCCTACATGCTTAAAATTGTTGTTTTTCTATGTTATAGGTTTTACTGTACACTGCAGTCCAAAACAGCCACAGGTGGGCAGAACAATATGCGGTGAAAAGCTCAGAATTGTTGTTGACTGCCTGGAACTCTCAGGAAATCCAGCTCGTTCATCAAATTGTCAATGAAAAGATAAATTTGACGATTGAATTTGGGAAGCATGTTAGTAGAACGACCATCAAATATACGAATCCAACATTCTTATATGTTAAACTAACAGATCTAGTCGGCCCAGAATGTAAGTCCATTTTTATCTAAAGCAGCTCTAGAGTAGCATACATTTGAACTAAATTATGTACTTAGTTTACATAATTACTATTTTTACCTGTCCCTATTTTTAGCCTTTTATTTGTCGTTCTATTTAGTAGCCATGTAGATCACATGAAAATAACGTGAAAAAATATTAGTTATAGCCACTTCCTGTAGGACCATTTTTGTAAAATTTCACATTTCACTATTGTCAGATGCTATTCTAAACAATCCTTTGAGCTTGATTCAAGTTTAGAAGATTGTGAAATGAGTGTGGTAATAACATGGCATCATCGCCCGTGGTCTCAGTAAAATCACAAGTGTCACCTTCAATATCGCAGTGATATCTTAAACATTCCCTGGTCACAGAGTCATCATCATTTTCCCAAACAAGACAAATTCATAAACATTTCCTGTGGTCGTGGTGAAATTGTGAACATCTTATGCGACCGCGGAGACATAATCGTCTTCCACAATCGAGCGAGATTATGAACACAAAGTCAAAGTCAAAGTCAAAGTCATCTTTATTGTCACAAAACGTTTTTTTTTTATGCTCTGGCACAGCCAGACAAAACAGGTGACATTGTCAAACTATACTAAAATAAACTAGCTTATATTGGTAAAAATAAATACATAGTAGGTAACAAAACAAACAATTCACATTGATTTATCTTCAAGAAATTGACCAATACTATAATAATTCTTTTCCAATAAAAATTCAAAAATTTTTTCTTTAAAAGATACTAATCCTATTATAGATTTGTAGTACCCAGGCAAATTGTTAAAAAATCTTTTACCCATATAAGAAGGTGTCCTTTCCACAAGATTTAATCTGTGTATAGGATATTGAAAATCTGTATGAAATCTAGTGTTATAATTGTGCCGATTATTTTCACTGTGGAGTTTTTCAAAATTTGATTTCACATACAATAAACATTTAAGAATATACAAATTAGGGACGGTTAGAATCTTTAGTTCTTTAAAAAGTTGCTTGCAAGAATGTTTTACGGGTTTAAAAGTCATAATTCTAAGTATTCTTTTTTGAAGTTTAAAAAGTTGATACGAATCAGATGTGACGCCCCAAAGCTCTATTCCATACTGTAAAATTGACGAAAATAAAGCGTGATAAATCATTAGTCTAGTGTTTAAATCAACAACATTTCTTAAGACCAACATTTGAAAACATACTGAATTTAACTTTTTAGAGGTGTTATGAATGTGATTCTTCCAATTCAATAAACTATCTACATCAATTCCTAAAAATTTAGCTGTGTTGCTAAAATTTATTTTTTCATTATCAAAATAAACAAAGCCTTCAAGATCGTCCCTACACTGTGCAGTTTGAAATTTTACTATTTGTGTTTTAATGTGGTTCATTTTTAAACCGTTTACTTTAAACCATTTTGACAGATCTTGAAGAGCTTGATTCAAGGCTAAACTTAGTTCATGACTGTCTTTTGATTTAATGATGGCTGTCGTATCGTCAGCATATAACAACAAACTAGGTTTAACATTCTTAGGTAGATCATTTATGTACATCAAAAACAATAACGGTCCTAATATAGAGCCCTGAGGCACCCCCATAACAATCTTTTCCCATTCAGAAGCATACTTAATGTTTTCTTTAATAATAACTGTTCTTTGAAAGCGATCGTTTAAATATGATTTCAACCACAAAATAACTGATTCTGAGAATCTATAGGAGGATAATTTATCAAGAAGAATTTGATGGTGTACACTATCAAAGGCTTTGGATAGATCACAGAACACGCCAATAGTGCTCTGTGACCCATCCAAGCTCTGTGTTATTGAATTTACAAAATGAGCCACAGTGGAAGTGGTACTTCGATTTTTCCTAAAACCAAACTGTTCATCAGCTAATAAGTTATTAGATTCCAGAAAATAGGACATTTGATTGAATGCAATTTTTTCAAATATCTTTGAAAAAGAAGGCAGGACAGAAACAGGTCGGTAGTTATCTGAATTACTCTTAGAACCTTTTTTAAATAATGGCTTCACCTCTGCATACTTCAAATGATTAGGGAAAGCCTCAAACACATGGATTGCCTAACAGATTTTTCATCTCAGCCCTGACTCGTTCCCTGATGGATGACCCGATTTTTGGCTTCTGTCAAACCATAATCTTATCCATTACAGCTTCAAATTTATCCGTCTTGTAATGTCGTCAAACCATCAACAAAAGTTAAAAACATACAAATACAATATCAAAACACAATACACGACATAACAGCAATGGCCTGTATTTAACACTGAACGTTCCGCGACCTTCGGTAACAGTGCACTATTTTAATCAAACAGCCCTGGTGGCCAATTACAATGTGTATCATAAAGTCTTCAGTAGGCTAATTAAAATGAAATTGTGAATATATCCGATGTTGGTTCTCAGATGATTGTATGCGTTCAATGTTTGGAAATTTAATACTACACTACTCAATGGCAATCTAGGTTATAAATTAAATTTTAAACTAAATTTAATGTACCGAGAGATTTTTTAAAGTATTAGTTTAATTTTATTATTTAATCTACTACTTTTTGTAAAATTTCATGACAGATTAATTCTGTTCATAATGATTTATTGTTTTCTCTTGGTGGTATTGGTCATAACTAATGTGTTGACATGTTTGGCTAGGGGACCAGAGAGTTATAACGGCCGGATGTGTTGGCTTACTGCTAGGTACAGGGATTGGGCTAGGTGTCGGCCTGTGCCTACAATCCCCTCAAAAGCCAGTAGCCGTCATGAAGGCTGTGACCCTCACAGGCTTCAACGGGATCGATGTAAGTCCTCGTTTTATTTCTATAAGGAAAATTGTGTGTTCCTACAGTTTTTTAAACAACAACACTAATTTAAACATCTTTGCCACCAAGACTGATAATTGAATATAATATAATAGGTTACGTACCTTATTCCGTCTTCAGTCTTAGCTTAGTCAATGCTGGATGACTAGTTTCGGGAACAAAGGAGGCTTCTGTTCCCGAAACTAGTCATCCAGCATTGACTAAGCTAAGACTGAAGACGGAATAAGGTACGTAACCTATTATATTATAAACAACACTAAATGGTTAACTAAACGGAAATGTGGTTTTTGGAATTTTGAGCCAGAAAACAAATTAAAACATAGTTTTTTTTTTTAATTTACTTCATATTTTAATCAACTAGGAGCATTTCAGTCAAGAAAATCATATAGTTACAAACATCTGACGATTTTCACCCAAATTTAATGGTGGCTTAAATTGCATGGCTAAAGAAGTAAGGTAAATTCATTTCTTATTGTGGTGTTTCCGGTCAAATTAGTGACAATGAAATAAAAAGGTTAAAATACCTGTTGTTGTCTTGTGTTTATCCTACCTCTTGTTCTTATACAGATTTGACGTTCGTGCCAAAATGTGCATATCTAGTGGAACATACTTGGACCACAAAGCGACAACAGGTATTTTAACCTTTATATTTAATTGAGGTAAGGTGTAAGTGTGTCAGTAACTAAAAAATTTACTTATCATTGTTTTGAATCTTAGTTATTTGACACATTTTGTATTTTTTAAGGCCGTAGCGTACATGGAGGATGTCGTCATGCCGACAGTTTGTTCTCCAGATGATGTTCTGATACAAGTCAAGTCTGGTTCAGTCGATCCCATTGACATCAAAATCTGCACTGGTTACGCGAGAGTACTGAGGAAGCAGCTGAACAAGTACAATCCGGTGAGTACTTCAACAAACACATAGACAATTTAGGTACAATATATCAGGTTAATATAGGTACCATTTAAAAAAAACTTTGTTAAACTCTGATTTGTGAATGTAACCCTAATGATGAATGGTATTGACTTAAACGCGACAATTTGAACTGTAAAAATATGGTCATACTCAGTCCTTTATTTAAAATATAAATATAAAATGCAAATGTAAATAAATATAAAATATAAATATAAAATGAGGTGCCGGAACTGTAACCTATTTAATGTGTTTAGTTTAGTACCTATTTATGACAATATTTCTATCATTCCAAAAAAGTGGTGGTGGAACGCCATTAGGCCGCATTACACTGCAAATCGAGCACTGGTCAAACTAATCATTAGAATAATATTGTGATGATGAATCAATATCATTGGCCACTGACTCGGACCATATGGCTTTGGCCATATATTGTAATTAGGCTTCTCATCCATTTTCAAAGCTTAAGACTGTTTTGATGTGTGATTTGTGTCCGGGTACATTTTGAGTGTAGCCTACACTGATGTCAACTAGATTTTATTCAGAACAACTAAAATGTAGAATTATTCCAGAATGTGCGAGGTGAGTTGCCGCTGGTGCTAGGCAGGGACGTGGCAGGTATTGTGAGAGAGGTTGGCAGCAGTGTGACCAGACTAGAGGTGGGGGACGAGGTGTGGTGTGCCGTACCAGCGTGGCTCCCCGGAGTATTGTCCGAGGTAGCAGTGGTGGACCAGTACTACGTAGCTCACAAACCTCGCACACTCACCTTCGATGGTGCCGCCTCACTGCCGTACTGTGGAGCAGTAGCTTGGGACGCTGTTGCCAACAAGGCGAAGCTCAGTGCACAAAATGCTGCGTCCAAACGGTAGGCCTATAATTTTCCCTTAAATATTTTAATATATTTTGTAATTTCGGTTCATATTTCTTAGATACGGACATTACGTCTAGCTCTTTTGGACACACACATCTATATATAAAGCCAAAAGTACCCATGAACTTTTGAGAAAACTACAAGTCACACTCCCATAAACCATATACTTAAAATGTTCGTCATGACGAGAAACCTTGCTCAAAACCATCCATTATTTCATAAATTGCCCTTTGAGGTTGTAATTACTTTCTAAAGGGAACTTTCCATATACCTAATGTTAAAAATACCTCAGCTGTACTTATTTGTTTGTTATTCTTTCAATTTATTACCTTATTAAAATCAGATGTGAATATTTGTATGTTTTACTTTATTTTGTTAATTTTAGGTTCACTTAACCAATCAATAGTTTTATTAATACTTATGAAGTCAAACAGGGTGAAGCCCTGTGGGTAACAGCTAGTATCTATTAATTACCATTCCATCTTTGGCCCAATCACAAGATGATGGTAATGAAGAAAAGAAGATATTATTTGTGCCTCATTACCCCTTCATCAATTTTATTCTATAAACATCATAAAAGATATCTGCCGTCAATCTCTATTGTATTATATGTATCACCATCAGTGCAGTTAATGGAGGAGCCTATTTACCTCGTGACTTTAAAGGAGCCAACAAGGATCAAGCGTTGTTGCCAAATCTAATAATTGATTAATAAATGTTCACATTTTAATATCTTTTAAGTAGGCCTACCATAAAATCAAAATTTGCTTTGTTATTTCTATAATATGTTATATATACTTTAGTTTAAAAAATTTGTTTCCAACAGTAGAAATTTATACCAGCGGATTTAAAAATATTTTTTAAGAACTCCAAACCTTCAAGCGTGGGAGATTGTAGGATTTCTCTATATGCCTTTCTTAATAGTCAGCTGTTTCAGTTCAGATATAATTATTATTTACATTTTTGTTATGATTTTTTTGTTAATTCTAATTGTGAATAAAAGACAACTACATGTAAACTATTCTTTTATTCAACACTGACACAATTTTAATTAGTGTCGCCACAGATCATGATGGCGGCCTAACGGTAATCAAGGGGCGATGATATATCTTGCTAGTCCGGTCTTGCTATTGGCTGCCGCACCACCAACTGCAGACTCTCATGGCCCGTACTGTAAATAGATTAACTAGTTTATTATTATTTGGCAAAATGTACAGTATTTTTAAAGTTGATTCCTCATACTTGACTTGGATAACTATGTATGTTGCAGGGTGCTGGTACACTGTGCCAGTACAGGTGTAGGTTGTCTGATAGTACAAATCTGTCACAACATGGGCGTCCACGTCAGTGTCACTTGTCTCAACAGAGCTGCTCCTGTCATGGAGGCACTGGGCGCAGACAGTATCTTTCCCCTCGAGTCTACTGACATCGAGAAACAGCTGGTGAAAGATAATAGGTACGTCTTTCCCTTAAGCATTGTGCTAAGGCATATGGAATTGTATCCTATCCTATACTCTAATACGAGCAATGTTTGCTTGTATGTATGTATGCTTGCTTGCACAAAGATCTCAAAAACGGCTCCGGCGATTTTCTTCAAATGTTGTAAATAGTTTATTCCTGGCCTAAAAACGAGTTTACTGCAGTTAGAACTGCCAACAAAAATCTAATTACGTAGAAAAGTGAAACTGAAAGTCACATTTTTTTAACTTTAGGCGTATGGGTTTCTAAGTAACCATCTTGGCTGAATGAAATAACAAGGAAAAAGTAAACAAAAGACTTGTAAGTAGTTGTCTGTCCACAGTATACTTGCAAACTAAAAATACAGTACAAAAGGAAAAAGATCAGTTTTTACTATTGAGCAATGATTATACTGAAGATGACTCGATACATTGTAGCAGGCCTTTTTTTTATCTATCATTGTATTAAAGGCTAGCAGTGTTTAATGTGGGAACTGTTTATGATGATTAGATTAAGTTATCTGTGATCCTAAAATGCTATGGGATGGGAGGGACTTAGGAAGGGGTGATGGAAGTAGAAAAGGCGAGCAGTGTGGAGTGTGGGAACTGGAAACAGTTTGTATCAGTTAGAATAATGTATTTGCAATACTGAAATGCTATGAGAAGGAGTGGAAACATGTCCACGACACAGGAAATGGCGAACAAATTAGTAAAGGCTAGCAGTGCGGAGTGTGGGGAATGGATTCATGTATCTGCAATACTAAGACTGCCTTCAGAGTAAACTAATGATTTCCTCCGAGCAAAGCTCGGTCCCCAGGTACTTGTGTATAACAAGAAGTCTGCAGGTCTCCAACACTTTTTGGATTGGTCTGGGCAAGAATAATTTTTTTCGCTAAGCTCGTCTCATGCCATTTACTTTAAAAGAATACAAGTGGCTTGATTTTTGAGTGGAGCAATGTTAGCCTATTGTAGAAGATTTAACATGAGATGTTCCAAATTACGCCGCGATCGCAGAGGAAGTTTATGATTTCGTCTCTACCTCAGGAGATATTCTTGATCTCACTGTGGTCACGGGAATAAGGCCTAATGTACAATATTTTAACCGTTTGTATTACAACTAGGGATGGGCCGATTCAAAGAGAATCAAAACCAAAGTTGTAGATTCGGAATTGACCAAATCAGGAATCGCTGGAATCGGCCCATCACTAATTATAATCATTAATAATTTAAATAACTAAGACATTCTAAAGCAACCTGATTTTGGTCCAAGACTCAAAATTCGACCCAGTGTAAAATAGTCGTGCCTGGAGACCCATATGAAAATTATTAAGATGAGTTGCAAAATGTATGATTGGGCCTACATGCAACTTTCATATTTATATGTTTCTGTTAGGCTTACATTTTGCTAGTATTTAAATGTTTATCTATATACTAGCAGAGTACCCGTCCTTCGTAGGGGGTTGTCATATAAGATTAAAATGCTTATTGCAGTTATACTCAAGCTTTGCTGCTTCTTAAAACTAACGGTATATGATGGTATTACACATCTACCATAGCCATAATGTTTTACCACTTCACCTAAACAATAAAAAAATTACTAAAAAGTCACTAAAAATAGCAAAATTATTCATGACATTAAGAACATGAACATGTAAACCACTGTAAACAATCCTACTTTTTTTTCTCGTGTCTACGCCAGTGTCATTTTTGTAATGATGTCAAACACTTTTGGTCACGGAGGGGGTCTTCTGTCACCTTTCTAAGGCCTTTGAGCTTGATGTGTACAAATTCTCAAAGCAATAAATTACATGGATGAAAAAATCATACCTAGAAAACCGGTTCCAAAGAACTGTAATTTTGAAAAATTATTTAGTATCTAAGTCTCCTTGGGAGAACATTAAAATTGGTGTCCCACAAGGGTCTATCTGAGGACCTTTGCTCTTTTTACTATATATAAGTGATTTACCTAGGAATGTTTATAAAAAAATCATTCTATATGCAGATGACACAACAGCAAATTATCAAAGCTAGGTCCCATTTTGAATTGGAACATAAAATTAATCAAACTTTCTGCGAATTGACAAGCTGGTTTGAAGTTAATGGACTTAAACTTTAATCAAGATAAAACCCAACTATTAAATTTTCGTACCGCACAGTCAAAAGAAGGTTACAGTTCAGAAATTATCTTTCAGGACCAGTTGATACCGCTCGGTGGCAGCGCAAATTTCCTTGGTTTGGAACTGGATATTAATTTTTCTTGGAGTAATTGTATTGATAATATTATTAGTAAATTAAATACAGCCTGTTATCAAATGCTAGTACTACGTAATTATATTGACCTCAAAACAAGAATTGATATCTACTATGCTTTCTTTTTTCAATTATTAACGATGGGATTGAGTTCTGGGGATTATCATGTGATTCAGTTAAAGTTTTTAAAGTACAGAAAAGGTTTTTAAGAATATTGACATTCTCATATTTTAGGAAATCTTGTAAATCCCTGTTCAGGGAATTAAACATCTTAACTGTTCCAAATTTATACATATTCAAAACCTTAGTAATGGTACAAACAAACTATGAAAATTTATTAAAATATAATTTTGACCAAAGATACAACACAAGGTTTAAAAATAATTTTCAATTACCGATCCATCATCTGCGTCTCATTGAAAAGACACCAACATACATGGGGAAAAAACTTTACAATATAAGTTACCACTAGGTTTAAAAAATATAGCCAATACAATGTCATTTAAAAAGAATCAGATCCAAAATTTTAATAGAAAAAAAACTACTACCATTTTAATGAGTATTTGTTGTAAACTATTTTTAAATCAAAGTCAGTATTTGAATTTTTTATTTTTATTTAATTTTTAACTATAGAATGTAAGATGACCAACAATGTATTCATCATAATTTTTACAATGTCACCTGTTTTGTAGCTAAGCTATGTATAAACGTTTTGTGACAATAAAGTTTGATTTGATTTGATTTACTTTGACTGTTCTCATTGCGTATCACAGTTTTTTGTTACTGCTTAGAATTAGCTGTTTACATAAATGCAAAAAAAATATAGTGCTGCACCCTGTTGGTAAATCTTATCACTTTTTAATGCTTTTGTATCATGGAACCAACTATTTAGTTGAAACAGCTGACTAAGTTCTTTAATTCCCTTTAAATAAAATGAGTACTCATAAGGTTAACATGGGGCACTACAGAGCCACTGGGGCGGAGCCCAAAATGATTTTTGAGATGAGAATATGCCTATATGTTAATCGGGAATGTGAGCTATCATCATGCCAAATTTCAGCCCAATCCGTCCAGTGGTTTATGGGTGATTGAACTTCAAACTAACACACAAACTTTCACATTTATAATATTATTAAGATAACCTTCTGTGAAGTATACATTGTTTATGTTGTGAAAGAATATTAGGATGATTTAGTCCCATATGGGCTATTCTGTTGTAAAATACTGCTTTTCTAATACTTTTATCACTCTGCCAACTATAATGTTACACACTAATCGTTCATTAACGAGAATTTGCATTGTTTGTCCAGGTATGACATAGTGTTCAACACAGCAGGTTCTGTCGCTCACCAGTTCTGTTTACGTCTGTGTAAGTTTGACGGCTTTGTGATCACCACAATCTCCTCTCAACTGGCTTCCGATACCTTCGGCTTGTGTCTTGGCTTCCTGTATACAACTTGGGTGCGACTTGCTCATGTGAGTATTTGTCTCACCTTTTATATATTCTACAGCCTATTAGATTGCCTCCTTGTGAAATACAACCACATCCATCTGATCTTTGCTGTCTGTGTTTCTCTCAGTTTTAAAGTAATGCTTTCTGTCAACTAGTTGACCAACAATTGTATTGTGTTTGCACTAAAAACATTGTTTTGGTGTGGAATAAAAAGCCTCCTTTCGTCGCAACCACTGACTTGTTGTTTTGAAAATACGCACACACTGCACAACATCGATGTTGTTCGGTCCATAGAAATGGTATGAGTGACCAATGACAAGACCAAAGGTATCCGCCTACCTCTTATGTCCATCTATTGGCTCTATTCTGCAAAATTCCAGCTCGATTGGTCTAGAAGTTTTCACCTGATTGGCCATGTACTCACAAACATTATACTTTCACATATACAATGTCAGTATAAAATATCTGGAGTTATAAAATGCTTTATATATTTTTTCATCCCTATATTGTTTTGATTTAATTTGTTAAGTAAGCCCCATAATTTATTTTTTGTCATACTGCAGCGAAAACAGCCGTTTTTAATGCATGCGTTGCGGGGCTAAAGTTGCATTTACTCTCTAGGGAGTAAAAATCATTTTTGGTCTCTAGGGAGTAAAAATCAGCTGTGGTAAATAGTTGTAAATTTTGGCTTGTGGCAATCAAATCGATTCAAATTATTTATCGATTGATTAATGTAAGGTGTTAGCCTATTGTTGTCGATTGCTGGACATATCAATCGTATAATAGTAATAGACAAAATGATTGAATCACTTACTAAACAGCTGCTCATTTGCATTAGCAGGATTAAAAACAAGCTGGAAGTCGTTTTGAGAGGTTATCTTTACATCAAAATTATTTTGTTTTCTACAGGTCAAAAAGAGTCACGTTAGGCCCTAGTGAAGAAATATACTATTATGAAACTCATTGATTTGAAAATGTGACTCCGACTCCACATCCAACTCTACTAACCCATGATCAATCCTGGAGAATTTTCAAATGAAACCATTCTATAGAACTGCATGTTGAGAAAGGGGCCAGTGGCCTCGAAATATCCAGTGTTTATTTTATTTTGTGTTTTCTTCTGTGTTCTGTAGTGAATGAAGTGGGATGCCTACATTTCTTAAGGTAAGCCTGCTTATCCTATCCTTTCTCTCCCCCATTCTATAGAACCGTTTTTTAGAGCCATCCTCTAGAATCATCCTATTTGACCATGAACCATCCCTAAGAGTTATCTCGAAAAACCCTTTCAAATATCATGCGTTGGAAATTGTTACAGTATTTGTTAAAACATATTGTTTTGCAGAGTATTTTCGGCTACTCCAGCTGGGGAAGCTGTCACATCAGCTACAAGGTGTTGGATACTTTGACGAGCTTGGTGGACAGTGGGCGATTGCAGCCTGTCGTGGACAAAGTGCTACAGCCTCATGAAATAGAACGTGCTTTCCAGCACATAGACTCTGCCAATGCGATTGGAAAAACGGTTTTAAGATTTAGGTAAGCAAATGATTTTCAAGTTGTTGAATGTTTTGCTAACTTGAAATTAAATCAATAAAGTTGTCTATTTAACTGTCGGATTAAACTGTTGTATATAATTAATGCCAGACTAAATTAAGCAAATCTTCAGGTTAGATTGACGACTGCTTATGCTCCTCATGGTGGAGTTTGTAAGAGGTTTTTAAATTGTGATGAGAGTGAAACACTGCCTTAGACCAAAATAAATATGCCATTTTCACACATTTTACTCGAAACAAGAACACAAAACGCAAACATGAGATAATATTTACACAGAACATTTTGGTTGTTTGTACAATTTTCCCAATTTTAAACTTACGACAAACTCCTATCAGAATTTACATATATTCTAGTTATAAAATAACACGAAACTCACACAAAACCTCAAGTCATTATTGAAGGTAGTCTTTGGTTCGAACTCAACCAAATATCAATGTCTTTTGTCCTAGTTTTGAGTCACCATAATTATTAGATATCCATTTTTCTACATTAACACTCTGATATGTTTCAGTGGTTCTTCGGCTTCCACTCCGACAACAAAACCAGACGTAATCCTCTAACATCTGCAAATTGTAGTCCGAATAGTATATGTACGATTGTTATTTATTTTATGGTGTCTAATAGAGTGTTACCGAACTAGTGTAAATAAGCGGCGTGTGTGGAATGAAACCGATATGTTTTATTTAAAGATTTGTGGAGTTTTATTTACCTTTAACCGTTGACTATTGATAAAGTCTTCATTACACACAAGTCAATAGTGCTATTAGAGAAACTGTTTGATTTTTCCATGCAGTGTTCGATTTGCAGGCGAACGTGGCGATTTTGTGGCAGAACGGAGTTCCAGTGCCTTTTTTTAAGAAAGATAAAATTATTGTCATAAATAAATAGGTGGTAATCACATTATTAGGTGACAGTTCGATCACCTCATTTTTTACCAATCGAGCACTGCCTGTAAGTATCCCTTGGTTCTTTAGCAGTGTCAAAACTAACAAACAGTGAAGGGACGAGGAACGATTTGTCTCAGAGTAGATAAGGAATTTTGATTTTGCCTGTCCGATTTTGACACGGGTTCAATATCCTGCATTTGAAGCTTTTGAGTGGAAGGTATTGGTGGACCCTAAGTAATTATTTAAAAGTTGCTTGGTCAATAAAATGGGAGTTAATTCAAGAATTACATTTTTTTAAATCATTTTCAAAATCATAAAAAATAATATTTATTTAATTGTTTAGTACAGTCTTAATGTTTAAGAAAGTGTTAAATGTTGTTATACTCTTTTTGATAAAATATCTCTAGATTGTATGGAAAAAATGTATTGTTTTGTTAAAACTTCTGTTAAAATTTATTTTTATTATTTGTTATTAACTTATAAGTTATCGTTATTAAAATATTATACATGTTCTTTTTGTTAAAATATATCCATTGCATAAAAAATTAATTGTTTTGGTTTCTTAATTTGTTTTACCAGTACAGTATACTTTAATTTATTTAATTATTGCTGTTTGATATTTATTTTATGTGCTGACCAGGTAGTCTATACCAGTCGTGACAGACGATCTTAATGATCATTGTTGTATAGTGCTAAGAATGTCAACTGTACTCACTTGTTTTATAAATAAAAGCACTATTTCATATTGATAAAAGTCTTCATTATACACGACTCAATGGTACTATCAAGGAAAAGGGGTAAAACTGTTTGATTTTTCCCAGTAAGTGTTGCTTGGTTCCCACCAGTACGAAAACCTCCTCGGTTGTGAGTGGATGATGAATGACTTGCCTCAGAGAAATCTTTTAGCTGTGATGATCATATTGTTTTTTTTTTAGTGATTTAAATAATAGACACTTTGATCTCGTAATGCAAACTTCATGGATTTAAGTGAAGGTAAGTGCACCATGTTTTATATTTATATTTACACTTGTATATCAAATATCTAAAATTCCCTATCAGTGGGGTGAAACCAGGTAAAAATACCCTATTTTACCTCCAGTCTCAAAGACAAAAAATCATTTGCTACAGTTTTTATTTTGTAAATTGATGGTACTTGGGTAATAATCTAAATATATGTGACAAACTGTAAGTTGATTCCTCTATTTAATTTGTTTTAAATAAATAAAAACTTTTCTTAAGCTAGTCTGAACGAAATAATAGCTAACTAACCCATAAAATCTTTTCTAGGTGGACACACTGAAGAGAATTTCCCATACCTACACAAAGAAGATGCAAAGGCAATCATGGCAGGAAAATATGGAGGGAGCAGTGAGAGATAGTTTTATGCCACATGGAGTACCTCAAAGCTACTAAGTTATTGTAGGTTCCTAAGTTAACTTTAAAAGGGTTAAAAAAGCAAAGCAAAACTGCAGAACATGAGGCAAAACCTTGCTACTAAAACGTCAATATGTGCTTGGGAGGCTTTTTGTTCTATTGGAGTTACAAAACCACCTCACTATAAAATAAATTTCTATTAAAAAGTGATAATCGACAATGAAAAACGGTTGTGCTCACTTCATCTCTTTACAAGTTAGGGTTAGAAGCCTCTTAAAAAATATTAAAATTCTGAAAGAGCAAAGACAAAAAAAAACCAAACTTTGAAAGAGGACAAACAAATATACCATTGTAAAGAGAGAAGAAAATGGTGTAAACTGCAACAGAACTTAAAGAGGAAGACACATATAGTGAGGAAGAAAAATTTCTACAAACTTATGAAATTGTAAGAGCAAAATATACCTATTTTCCTTCTGTTAAATAAGTTTTTTGCTTTTTTCCTATATCACATACAATGAGGGGTTTCCCAACAACATCTCTATTTCTGCCGTCCTACTTAACCTATTATTCAATCAAAGTGTAATTGAGGTTTTCCCCCAGGCCTTTGATTTTTTTTTAGAAGGCGCTATCAGGGTTCAGGTGATGCAGATAAACTTGCCTTATTATGGTTAAAATTGTGAACTGTAATTCAACAGCTGATTACCTTTAGTTAAGTTTCTAACCAAATTTTAAAGAAAACATTTTTTGAAAATTAATTTAATTTCATAGAGTACTTTTATTGATAGTCGCTGTCTGATTGAGGTGGATCTCTCTTTATAGTATAAGTCTACAATCAACATATTTTTAATATTGTAAATTACTTGTGTTGTTAAACTAGTATAATCTATATTAAAGAATTTGTTGAAATTTTGTGTAGAGCAATTGACCCCTAAATATTTATTTTTATAGGCATACTAGCTGTAACCCGCGGGCTTTGCCCCGTTTTACTTCTTAATTTTCAAGATTATCTCGTTCGCATGGCTCAATCACGTCCTGGTTGAAGTTTGTTCGCTACGCTCACTCACCTTTAGGTTGGAGCTCGTTCGCTACGCTCACTCACTTTTAGGTTGGAGCTCGTTCGCTGCGCTCACTTGCCTTCAGGTTAGCTCGTTTGCTATGCTAACTCGCCTCCAGGTTGAAGTTCGTTCGCTACGCTCACTCACCTTTTGGTTGCAAATTAGCTGTTGTCATAAATGTAAAAGAAATAATAGTGCTGCACCCTGTTGGTAATCCTTGTAACTTTAATGCTATTGAACATCATAGAACAGAACCAACTTGTTTAATTGAAACAGCTGTTAAGATTCATTAATTCCATTTCTCATAAGGTTAACATGGGAAACTCCAGAGCCACTGGGGAGGAGCCGATTGGACGGATCACGAAATTGATGGTGTATAAACCTATTCCATGACATTCTACACGTATGTACCAAGCTTCGTGGCAATCGGTTCAGCGGTGTCTGAGTTTATCACTGCCAAATATATATACAAACATCCTCTTTTATACTTATAGATTGGGTATTAATTTCATGGTCTTTGGATGTGCCTTTTGCGGATTTGGGTGATTTCTGTGAAAGCCCTTTGTCCTATAGGCTTTTAAAATTTCATCGTTGTTTGTGCTTAATTCTGTCAATTCTATCATCAATCATCTGAACTTTTTTGTTTACATCTATACAAAATGGGGTTATCTGTAGTTGGTGATGTTTCAGTGAATTCAAGTAAAATGTTGTAATGTTATTTGTAGTATAAAATGTAAAGAAGGAAGTGACACGTTAGATTTTGTTTTCATAGTACCTATGTTTCATTAGTATTTGTAATTTTTCTAAGATACCTCGAAGAGATCGCGCAAGCACTGAAACTAATAGGGCTTACAATGCAAAGAATAGGCATAAGATGAGAAATAATCGGTTCCACCCTTTTCAACGATATATATAAAATTAATATATCACGGATTTTGAAGTCACGGAGTGACACAGGTTGCTAGTTGTCTTCAATCATATTTAATTTAATTTAAAATTATGTTATTCCTAAATGTTAATATTTTTACTTCCACATTATTCTATGAACGGTAAAAGGATATTACAATATTCGTTAAACCTTGGTGACAAATTTTAAATCTTATTAAGCTCAAGCTGCTTAATTTACGAACGTGTCCCCTTGTTTCACATAAACGTGTATATTTAGAAGTAAAATTTAATTAGGAATAGTGGTGTTATTGTTATTATTATTCATATAGGTAACATGTTTGGGTAACATTTTAAATCCATTCATGTTTTCGATTAATATAATTCACTAAAAAATAGAATAGATTAAATACCTTTTCATGTCATCTATCCTAGTCGTCTTTCGGGATGACAATAGTTCCGAAGTGTGCTGCCCCATTGTCAAATCTTCTGTCTTCATTAAACTGTTTGAACACTAGTCTTTGCAGTTCCACATATAGTTCACGTACACACAGTTCCACCATAGACAAAAAGAATTAAATATAAACCGTCGGCTGTGCTGCGGTTACCATAGGTTCTGGCGCACACTGCTGGGAGTGCCATTTTATCACGGCGTACACGCTACTTAACTTCACGGCGCACCCAGCTGTGTGCGCCTGAACCATATGGTAACCATGGTAACAGCAGCACGGCTGACTGTCTATATTTAATTCTTTTTGTCTATGGTTCCACATGAGATATTTAACATTTAAGAATTTTTGGCTGGCATAAACAAACTATTAACGTCATGGACCGGTACACTGATGCAAGTTAGCCGATACCTCATAGCGTAACTTGCCACTGAAGCTACCAAGATCAAGTTATGGAATTTTTACTTAACATTCAGGACACTATGAATGTGTTAACATCTGTTTTCTACAGTAGATTCAAACAGCCATTTTATTCTCTTCTGTATTATTTGTATAAGATGGGGACACCACATTTTAACCCAAATATAAGTGAAGGATTAGTGTAGAATGGAGTAAGGTGCCTTGTGTAGCTCTGTTATTGACTAAGAACAGCTGTTTCATTTGCCAGGATTATTATAAAGCCCAATGTCCTCTCTCATTGTGACATATGGGTAAAACAACCAGCACCTCATAAATAATAAGTACAATAACATAAGGTACAAAAGGCGGATGCCAGTTGTCTTTGTGAAGAATATAAAAGCTGCTTTGTTCCACTCGAGGCGTGTGACATTCCACGCATTGTTGATACAGCTTACATTCCTTCCTACATTCTGAGTGAGGATGTATTGCGTGTTATCAGATGTTTCAATGCTGAGAGAAGAGAACTATTGATGCTTGTTTCTCTGGCTTCCCTTCTTCTTTGGAACAATGAAACAAACAATGTTGTTGAACCTCTTACATTGTTTCCTTGAGGGGGTTAAAGGAGGGAATGTTTTTATAGT